TAGCTTTACCCTGGACTAGTGGGTCTCAGATGTGAATCACCAAAGTTATTTTACTTATTTAATAAATCATTTTATTGGGAGCTACTGCAGCTCGTATAAAAAATCCACACATCAATTACATCAAGCGCATTTATTTAATTTATATAACATTTTACTGTGTCTTTGTTAAGTTTACAGAGCAAACTTGGTTCCCATTCAATAACTTTTATACAAATTGTTCTGTGATATTCATTACATTTGTCAATCTTTCAGTATTCTCATAATTTTTATTCTGTTTTTTCTGTATCTATTAAACTCCCATCACTAAGGCTTTGCCTACTCATCTCTTCTTTAGGTTAAATGTTTACTGTTTGATTTCTTATCAGGGGAAGTAAAAATAATTGTCCCTGGAGTTTCCACTCAGATATGCATGAGTTTGTTGCGAACAAGTGATCAGTGCATGACTACAGAAAAGTTCTCTTGTCTTATATACTTGACTCGGTCTTGTTAAAATGTCTTAGAAAGAAAGAATAAGAACACTTTCTGTACCTAGTGAAAACTGATTTTGATTTTAAGATCATGGATAACATAAATATACCATTTTTAACAAAACCTAGTGGTCAACCTTCACAAATCATTGAAGCTTAGTAACGCCTTACAACAATGCTACTCCATACAAAACATATTTTCAGATGTATCAAGCATTTATAGGAACATTTAGAAAGACCTTAAAGCTGAGGCAAGAGAGGGAAGACCCTCAACATCAAGAAATGAAGGAACTGTGGCTGAATTTCAGAAACTGGTGTGAAAAGACCATAGAATTACCAGGGGAGCAAGTGCTACCGAAGTTGGGGTCTCAGAAGACTTGTTCTTTTCGATTTGAAGTGAACATCTTGGCCCCAGCAAGCTTCTACGAGTGCCAAAATATTAGGTGACGATAAACGAGCCCAAAGAGCTGATCTTTCGATGTGTGAGTCCAAGGTCAGTGGGTCAGGTGAGCAGGAAGTATGGCGGGTGGTTGGCCTAAGTCTACAGAGACAACGTTTGCGGAGCTTGCTGTGCGCTCCAGGCCAGCACGAAATGAAGATGCTCTTCACAGCATCTGTTTAGATATCAAGTAGACCACACCCTTAGGGAAACAAGGCTGTGACCCGAATAAAGGATTGCATTCTAATTTTCCCACAATCGCTTGGCTGCTCATCACAGAGTTGATTCCATTGTGTTAGAAGACATTATGGGGGAAGCCTCCACTGCAAAATTACTGACTGAGAATCCTGGCCCACCCAAGTTGGCACAAAACCTGACTGTCAAAGGAGCATGCCTTTGCTTCTCCTAAACCTTGTAGTGGAGGTTTATAGTACTCTCGGAGTTGGGGTTTGACGTTCGCTGTTGCTATGGTTACCACCTGAAAACCAGAACCATCAAATTTCTGCAATAACAATTATACCTTTATGAGCTTATGGTATGAGCTAATTAGATATCTAATTGATTCCAATGCCTGCTTCTGTTTATCTTGGGTTTCTTCTGTGTACTAATCTCCTGAATTTGTCTCTTATATATGTCCCAGCTGATTTTAGTATTATTTTATTCATTGTTCGCTTATTTCTTGATTAAGCCTTATTTTAAGCCAGATACTAAAATCCTGGATCTCTTTGAAATTTTTCTGCCCCTCCAGGTGCAGTGTTGGATTTAGCAAGAATTCCTATTCCTTTCACCGTATAGAACTTTTTCTTTCCCTTTGTTACTTTGTTTTCCTGTCCCAGCTGAACTAGATTTTCACCAATATCTTCAGGTTTTAGTTGCCATTCTCCCTGGAAATAAAAGAATATTTTTGTATAGATCAGATAGTGAAGGTGAGTTTTTATAGTTTCAGAAGTGGCTGTTGTTTCCCTACCAAACCAACTCTACTGGGTACATTTCTCAAGATGTATCAGATCTTTCCTATTAATGTCTGGTGAATTTTCAGGAAAGAGCCCCACACACCCCAGGTAGTGGATGAAAGATAGAACCCCCTATATCTGCAGGCTCCCAAGCCTTCACACCCTCCTGTGAGTCCAGCTTTTAGCAATCTGGTGAAAGTGTCTAGCTGAGTCTGCTTGTGTAGAGAGGAACACCTGGATCCTGTTCTTAAAAAATGCCAGTTTCTCTAAAGATTTGGGGTTCATTATTAGTCCTCAAACACAAATTTTCAAATAATTACAAGCAAATTTATTATTTCATACATCTTCTGTCTAGTTTTTGTAAAATTAGTATGCTATACCTTCCCACTCTGTATCTTCAAGCAGAAACCATAGAGTAGATTTAGTTTGAATGCAGCTAGGTACTGGAACTACCTTAGGATATATGCGTCAGATATTCCTCTTCTTCACCCCCAGACATAATTCATCACTGTCTCCTGCGTATACATCCTAAAATCTCCACCTGTCCATATCGCTCCATCTTGGTTCACATTAAGAGAAAATCGCAATAGACTACAAGCTAATATCCTGAAGCCTCTTTATTCCTTTTCCAATGCATTTTCTTCTTCCAAACCATTTTTAAATGGTTTCCCAGATCAATTTTTAAAAAGTACAGTCACTATCCACCTTAAACTTGACTCTACCCAACAAAAATGACCATTGTGGCTTATCATTTTTCTCAAAATAATATTAGCATGATCAAATATGCTGTGAATGATCTGATTCCTGCTACTCTAACCAAACACATCCAAACATAAGTGTTCCATGGTACCTTTGTTTTCCACCTTCTCATTTTGCCGGATTTTTTGTATCACTTTAAAAAAAAAATCATTTTATTGGGGCTCATACAACTCTTATCACAGTCCATACATACATCAATTGTGCAAAGCACACTTATACATTTGTTACCCTCATCATTCTCAAAATTCACTTTCTGCTTGGGTTCCTGGAATCAGCTCCTCATTTTCCTTTTCCCTCCTCCCTTCCCCCTCCTTCATTAACTCTTAATAATTTATAAATTATTATTTTATTATCTTACACTGCCAGGCGTCTCCCTTCACCCACTTCTCTGCTTCCCATCCCCCATAGATGAGGTTACATGTAGATCCCTGTGATCAATTCCCCCTTTCAAGCCCCCCTTCCCTCCCTGTATGGCCACTCTCACCGCTGTTCCCAAGGGGCTCATCTGTCCTAGATTCCCTGTGCTTCCAGTTCCCATCTGTACCACTGTGCACTTTTAACTAACTGCCTTGCTTACTGCTTTTAACTTTCTGCCTTGTTTAAGCCCAAGGACTTCGTACTTGCTCTTTATGCATTCTTTAAGGCATTATCCGTTTCTAGTGATGCTTAACTCTTTCCTTTATTTCCTTAGGGAAATTTTACTCGCTCTTCCAGTGTATTTCAAATCTCACTATATTACAGACCATAATAGCTTTAGCCCTGTGTTAATTGTGGTTTTATGATGTTAATACCCCCCTGGAGACCTTTTCTCCTTTACTCAGATTGCTTTCCCAATAACAGAGTGCTTCAGAAATGAAGGACTAGATTTCATGTTTCAGAAATGAAGGAATTTATTTCTTGTGATTAATTTAATAATTGTTTTCTTATTAAATGCAGATCCTTGCTGGAGTAGATTTGATATTTATTTATTAATCCATTCAGAAAACATCTTGACCTCTAATTAGTACTCTTTTGCACCTTGAAAAGAAGACAAATTAGCTCTAATCCACATAGTTTATTATGGGATACAGTTATGTAAATCAACCTAAGAGTTAAAATTTATATGATACTATATATAGGATATGTGGCATATATTATATATATGCCATATATAATTTATATGTGTATTTATATAGACACACATATGTAAATTATATATATACACCTAAAATTAATATATATATAATGTATGCATTCTGGGTCTTTAGGAATCATATCCTACAGCAGTTAAATAATGAGCTGTATCTTCTGCAGCATTAATAGGATTTGTAACTTTGTTACTTTTGTTAATTGATGTGTTCTCTAGAACCTGAAATTTGATACCAAAAGTCAAAGCCACTGCTATAGTCTATTTTGACTCACAGTGACTTTATATAAGGTTTCAAATATGAAAATTTTATAGGAGCAGAGAGCCTCATCTTTCTCCTGCTGAGTGGCTAGGGGGTTGTAAGCCCAATGCTTACAGTGCCAAAATTAAATATTATTCAGGGGAAGAACTAAGAGTCTCCTAAATTATAAAAGAAATCGTAACAGAGAAAACATTCTAAGTAGGAGAAATGTGCAATTTCCCAGAATAAGAAAATAGACGCGTCTGTGCCATTTGAACCATGATGTAGTTCTTAGGTGCCATTTGAACCATGATGTAGTTCTTAGGTGCCTTGAGTCAGTTCTGACTCATAGCAACCATATGTACAACCAAAGGAAATTCTAGTCTGTCCTGCACTGTCTCCCAGTTGTTTGGTTTGATCCACATTGTTACAGCCACCATGTCAATCCATCTCATTTAGGATCTTCCTCTTTTTTCACAAACCACTTTTTTACCAAGTATGATGCATGTCTCCTGCGATCACTTCTACCTGATAAGATGTCTAAAGAACGTGAGACAAAGTTGTGTCATCATTATTTCTAAGGAACATCTTCCAGCATCTGTCCCAAGACAGACTTATTTGTTCTTAAGGAAGTCCATGCTATATTACTATTCTTAATTAACATCATAATTCAAGTGCATCAATAATTCTTTGGTCTTCCTAGCTTTCACAGGTATATGAAACAATTTAAAATACCATGGCTCTTGTCAAGCACACTTTAGTTCTCAAAGTAAGTAACTTATTTGCTCTTTAACAGTTTCAAAAGATCTTTTACAGCCGATTTAGTACAGTTGTGAGGATTGTTGGTTTCTTCATGTTAAATTGTAATCCAAAATAAAGCTATATTGGATTTTCATCAATAAACACTACAATTCCTTTTCACTTTCAGTAAGCAAATTGTGTCATCTGAATATTGCAGATAGTTAATGAACCTTTCTCCAACCCTGATACTGTGCTATTCAGATTTTTTTTAAAAACTGTAGGCCACAAAATAGTAGCGAACTATACTAAATGGTGTAGCCCACTGCGGAGTGTGGACTTCTCTTTATTCTCCCAAACAGCCCACACTGGTAAAGTTATTAAAAAACCCTTGCCTCCAAAAATTAACTTTTAGTAGCTATTCAGATTTTTGCTAAGCATGTAGATTGAATAAACATAAATCCAATGATGTACAAATTTTCTGACATTAAGCCATTCAATACCACCTTATTATGCTGGATTTACTGCCCCTTGCATATATATAGGTTTCACAATAAGTACTATTCTAAGTTCTGGAATTCCATTCTTCATAATGTTATCAATAGTTTGTTATTATTTATACAGTCAATGAAATGCAACAAAGTCAATAAAACACGGGTAAGCACCTTGTGATCTTTTCTACTTTTAGCCAAGTACCATCTGATATCAATAATGATATTCTTGGTTCAATTTCCTCTTCTGAATCCAGCTTGAATTATTAGAAGTTCCCTGTTTGAAAATATTGGTATTCTATTGAATCATTTTTCTTTAGAACAGGCATGAATATGGATCTATTCAAGTCAGTTGGCCAGGTAGTAGTCTAGTAGTCTTCCCAATTTCATATATATATATGAAATTCATAAATATATATATATATACATAGAGAGAATGAATTTATATTTCTATATATTTATATCTATATATATGTATATATATATATATATATAGAGAGAGAGAGAATGAATTTCATATACAGTATATATATGAAATTGGGAAGACTACTAGATACTACCTGGCCAACTGACTTGACTATATATATATATATACATATATATATATATATATATAGAGAGAGAGAGAGAGAGAGAGAGAGAGAGAAACATATATAGATATGTTAGTCTTTCCAGTGTATCATCAGCTTCCTGAAATACTTCAGTTGGTATTGTTTCTCACTAATGCCTTCGATGCAGTTGGACATCTTTCTTCAATATTATTGATTATTATCATATGTTACCTTCTGAAATGGTTGTGACAGCTACTTATGTCTGATATGTTGATTCTGTGCATTTCTCACATTTCTTTGGATGCTTCCTGCACCAATCAATATCTCACCCATAGGGTTCATCAATATTGCAGCTCTTGAGGCTGAAGTTTATCCTTCAGTTCTCTCATCTTTCTCTTAAAGGACCTTTTGGTTTCTTCATGCATGATGTTCTTGATATCAGCCTACAGCGCCTATGCTCTTTAGTTAGTAGTGTTCAGTGAGTAAATTATATTCTTGAGTTTGTCTCTAAATTCAGATAGAACATACTTAGGTTCTTGTTTTGGCTCTCTTGGATATCTAAGTTTTTTTCTTCAGCTTCAGTCTACACTTGCGTATGAGCAATTGATCTATTACACAGATAATGCACGGGTCTTGTTTTGGCTAATGAACTTGAGCTTTACCAGGACCCCTTCCTTTTGGTAAGGCTCACTTGTATAGTTACTATTTATGCTGTCAGAAAAAGGGGTGGGAGGGCACTCAGGCTCTGTGCTTTGGACAACTGAGACTTAGCCTACGACCTTTAAGGACCAGCACACCCATCACAGTACATATCAGAAGGACCTGATTTGGAAACCTGACTAAGTGAACTGGACTTTACTTTAAACCCACCTGTAGCACACTTAAGGAAATGAAATACTTTCTTGAACTTAAGGCAAAAACACCCTAAAGTGAGAAGAAGCAGATGACCAGTATCCCAAGTTTAAAAAATTGGTGGTCTTGGGACCTTTGTTCAGATCGCTTTTTTTGAGGGTGCCCAATGTATGGTGACCTGGAACCAGGGACTACCAGATATTTTCAATTCTCACTCTCTCTCTCTCTGTTTTATTATGACTGCCTTTGTGAATGAGTGATGTTTTTGCTCTATACCCAGCCCTCCCTGCTTACGTAAATCTTGTCCAGTCACTTAAGCTTTTAATCTGGACAAGTCTGCAATTTAAGTGTTGCGGTTTAAAAGCTGGCCTTGTTGTGGTTGTTGTTGTTAGGTGCCATTGAGGCAGCTCAACACGTAGGGACCCTATGCACAACAAAACAAGACAATATTCAGTCCTGTGCCATCCTTACAATTGTTCCTATGCCTGACACCATTGATGCAGCATCTGTGTCAACCCATGTCATTGAGGGCCTTCCTGTTTTTCGCTGCCCTTCCACTTTACCAAACATGATGTCCTTTCTGGGAATTGGTCTCTCCTGACAGTATGTCCAGAGAATATAAGGCACAGTCTTGCCACCCTTGCCTCTTAGGAGCACTCTGGCCTTACATCTTCCAACATAGATCAGTTTGTCCTTTTAGAAGTCCAAGTTACTTTCAATGTTCTTCTCCAGCAACACAATGCAAGTGCATTCTTCTTCACTTTGCCTTATTCAGTGTTCAGCTTTCACATGCATATGATGCAGAGGAGAATATCATGGCTTGGGTCAGCCACACTTTAGTCATCAAAATGACATTCTTGCTCTTCAATACTCTAAAGAGGTCTTGGGCAGCAGGTTTATCTAATGTAATATGTGTTTTGATCTCTACTGCTGCTTCCATGAGCATTGATTTCAGAGCCAAGCAAGACAAAATCCTTGACAACGTCAACCTTTTCTCCATTGATCATGATGATACCTATTAGTCCAATTATGAGGATTTTTGTTCCTCGTGAGCATAATGAAGTGTTCTGGAATCCCCATTCTTTTCAAAGTGATTCATGATTTATTATGGTCCACACAGTCAACTACCTTTGCCTAATAAATGCAACAAAAGTAAACATCATTCTGGTATTCTCTGCTTTGAGCCAAGATCCATCTGACATTAGAAATGTTGTCCCTTGTTCCATGTCCTGTATTGAATCCGGCCTGAACTTCTGCCAGTTCCATGTCCTTGTGCTGCTGTAACCTTTACTGGATGATCTTAAGCAAAATTTTACTTGAGTGTGATATCAATGATGTCCTTTGATGGTTTGAGTATTCTATTAGGTACCTTTTGTCGGAATGGGCTCAAATATGGATCTCTTCCAATCAGTTGGTCAAGTAGCTGTCTTCTAAATTTCCTGGACGAGTGCTTCCAGTGCTTCTTCAGTTTCCTGAAACATTTCAATGTTTCCATCAAATCCTGGAGCCTTGTTTTGAATCCATTCAGTACAGTTTCAACTTCTTCCTTCAGAACTATTGGTTCTTGCTCCTATGGTAACTCTCAAAATGATCAACTACTGACTAGATTTTTTTGGTACAGTAACCCTGCATATCCTTCCCATCTTCCCTTTATGCTTCTTGCATAATTCAGTATTTTTCCTGTTGAATCTTTCAAGATTGTAATTCCAGACTTGAACTTCTTCTTCAGTTCTTTCAGTTTCATATAGCCTGAGTATCTTCTTTCATTTGGGTTTCTAATGCTAGGTCCTTACACATTTTGTTATAACATTTGGCTTTGGCTTTTGAGCTGGCCTTGGAAATTGTCTATTCAGTTCCTTGACTTCATCCTTTCTTCCATTTGCTTTAGCTACTCTGTGATTAAGAGAACATTTCAGAGTCTCTTTGTCCCCTTTGACTTTTTCTTTATTCCCTGTCTTTTGAATGATCTTTTGCTTTCTTCATGAATGATGCTCTTGATATCCTCCCACAGCTCATCTTGTCTTCCATCTTTAGAGTTCACTGTGTCAAATCTATTCTTAGGACATTCTCTAAATCAAGGTCTTATTTTGGGTCTCATGAATTTATTTTAGTTATCTTCAGCTTTACCCTGAGCTTACCTATAAGCAATTGATGGTATGTTAAACAGGCAACCCCTGGCCTGACTTTCACGACTGATATTGAGCTTCTCCACCTTGTCATCCCACAGATTTAGTCTATTTTATTTCTCTGTGTTCCATCTGGGCAAGTCCATGTGTATAGTCACCTTTTCTGTTTTTTTAAAAAAAAGGTATTTGCTATGAACAACTCCTTTGTTTTGCAAAAAATTTTCATGAATCTACAGCTTTATTTCTATCACCAAGTACAGATTTTCAACTACTTTACTTCCTCCCCCCCCCCAAGTTTTGCATCCCATTCACCAATAATTACTAGTGTGTCTTGGTTGCATGCTTGATCAATTTTTGACTGAAGTCGTTGGTAGAATTATTCCGTTGATTCAAAACTAACATTTTTGGGTGGTGCATGAATTTGAATAATAGTTGTATTGATTAGATTTCCTTGAAGACAGATAGATATAATCCTATCAAAATCACCATTGTACTTCATGATGGATTTAGCAAGATTCTTTCTGACAATAAATGCCACACATGCCTCTTGATTGTGTTATTCCTAGCAAAGTAAATCATATGACTTTCTGATTCAGAATGACCAATACTAGTCCATTTCAGCTCACTAATGCTAGGATATCAATCTTCATATGTTCCATTTCATTTTTGACCACTTTCAATCTTGTAAAATTCACATTTGTCACATTAAAACTTCAGTCATTAGAAGATTTTTACAGCATTTTCTCTTTACCTTGAGTTGTGCCCTAACAGCAAGTGAAGAGCCCAAAGACTCTACTCCCACAAGTTTACCTCATTCATGTCACCATGGTAGACTCTATTCCAAGAAATAATTCCACATTTTGAGTGCCCTTGGTGGGAAGCCCATCTGCTGGGCATATCTCTGGCAATATTCTGCTGGTTTTGTTTAGGCTTTCAGTACTTGACAATGCTTTGAAGCTATACATAAAGTTTTCAGTGGCTTTCTGTTAGAAGGGTTCTCTGGAAAAACAAAACCATGACACTTATGATTATATATATATATGAATAGGTATATACAGCACGAAGGAATATAACAGCTAATTAGTCCACACAGCAGTACAGAGGGCTCAGTTCAACTCACTTCTTTGAAACAGTTAATATACTGGAAGTCCTTCAACTCATGAGGGCTGCTGGATCCAAATCAAGGAAGCAGACAGCTGAGTCTTCCGTAGACCAATGCAAGCACTCCAGCCACAGGCAGCAAACAGTAGGACAAGCCACCAACACTCAGCCAGATTGCACGATCCTATGGTCCCCAGCTCAAGTGATGTATACACCAGCAGTGTGGGGAAGCAGGTTTGAAGGAACATCAAGCTCTAGCAACATGAGCCTTGGGTTGGGAGTCCCACTAGCTCAGAA